TCCTGACACAAGCCAGGATGCTGTTGGCCTTCTTGGCCACCTGGGCACACTGCTGGCTCATGTTCAGCCGGTTGTTGACCAACGTCCCCAGGTCTTTCTCTGCTGTGCATCTTTCCAGCCACTCGTCCCCAGGCCTGTAGCATTCCATGGGGTTGTTGTGACCCAAGGGCAGGACCCGGCACTTGGTCTTGTTGAATCTCATACAGTTGGTCTCGGCCCATCGATCCAGCCTGTCCAGATCCCTCTGTAGAGCCTTCCTACCCTCCAGCAGATCAACACTCCCACCCAGCTTGGCGTTGTCTGCAAACTTACGAGCAAACTGAGCAAGCGCAGTTGCACACTCGCTCCCTGGGGTACACGAAGACCCAGCAACCATCCAGGATCTCCTGAATAACATGTTCCCGTGCCTTACAGCATCTCACACCTGCAGTCCTTGGGAGGTTTTGTTACAGACCTCAGTGGTCTGACCCGCTTTTCCTGCTGCAGTTTGGGGCGATCCGAGTTACGGCCAATTTAGTTCCTGCTTTTGCTATCAGCGCTCCCCTCACTCTTCTCTGTGTCAGGGTTGGCTCTGTGGGACAGCACGGACAGGGGCACTGCTTCCAAGCCTCTTGGTCCATGGAGTAGTCACAAACACTGCTTCCAGGCCATTTTCATTCCTATTTCCAACCCTTCCTAAAGGGCCCAGACCAACAGTGTTTCCCTCCTCTGCATGTTTCTGACCGCATGCAACAAAGACTTGAGATGAGTCAGTGTGGAGAGACCATTTATCTGTCCTTTCAGGGGTGCAGATCTCTTTCCTCTAGCTGCAGGCATCTCTGTAGCACGGTCCCACATGCAATGCCCACGGGGGCACATCAGCTGCATAGTCCTGAGTGTTCCCGGTCCATGGATCTGGACTGTCAGCCAGCAGGAGACGCCAGGCTTGCCTGACCATTTCCTGGGACAAGTTGTCCCATGCTGCTGCTAAACAGCATCCGTGGGGCATTTCCCAGAGCAGTGGGGAAGGGATGGATGCACAGGATGGTGGATCTTCAAAGGCTTCTTGTCCCTTGGCAAGACATTTTGTCTCTCCTCTTGCTGGGGCTGCCTGTCCTTCCCATCCCAGACCCAGTGTTGTGGGGGCATCCTCCAGATTTCTCCCTTGTGCTGCTTGTTGGATGACGACCTATTTTGCCTACTTCAACACACGCCATCAGGTTTGGGGGAACAAGGCTCTGGGAAGCTTCAGCTTCAGTGAGGCAGCAAGTGGAAAGCAACCAGCCCCCTATCACCCACCTCCTCAAAAACAGGGTGTGGAGGGATGAACGTGATCCCTTATTGGGACAAAAGGGGAGGGTGGCAGTGCTGGGATATGAAAAACCTGGAGGGTGGCTGAGTGAAGGTCCAGCAAGTGATACTTCCACCCTGCCTAATGCACGGCCCTGGGAGAGATGAGGGCTTGGTGCAGAAAGTTATGTCTGGCTTGGAAAAAAATATCCCCTTTTCCCAGACTCTGAAGGTCCACCCTCAAAACTTTCTGGCATGCAAAGGCAGGGCCCTGCCAGTGCTGGTACTCGGTGCCGCACAGAGGCACTGCAGCCGCTCTGCCCGTCCCTGCGGGGCTGGCAGCGCCCAGGGTGGGGGTACAGAGGCACTCCCTGCTTCCCACAGCACTGCCTGTCTCAGCAGCGCGCTGGACCCCCGCCAGCCTGGTTCCCTGTGCGCTGGGGCCGAAACCTGCGCACTCCATCCCCACCCAGCACCTCCCTCCCTGAGCCCGGTGCTCAGTGGCACAGTCGTGCCAGAACAGCTGAGTCAGCGCCCAGCCCTGCCACCAACCCTCCCTTGCTCCCTCTCCCACCAGTGTCTGTGGATTTCCACGGTG